GCTCTTAGGAATAAACAGAACTAAAATCAAAGGCAACACAGTTAATACCAGGGCTAGAACCTGTACGCATCCCAGATTTTTAGATTTATCAAGGCTAAGGCATGTTCTATCTACAAACATTGGTGTACAGGTTGATGGAATTGGTGTACAGGTTGATGGAAATGCTATAGTGGCCACTTTCTTTTTGGGTATGTATACGAGGCATGCTCCCTGGGAGGTTTTGAAATGCCCTTTAGGCTATTTTTTGCTGGGTATTACAGGAAAATTGGTCAACTCAAATGAATATTGCTGCTCGTTAATGCCTGCCACTAATGACATTAACGATCGTAAAAAATACTTAAATTTCAGAAAATTTTAATGGCACTTGAATAATAAAGTTGGAACTGAAGACAATATTTTGGTAAAATTGACCAAAAACAGTTTTCGTCCAGTCGTACTTATATCAAATTCTTCTTGACGCTATGTTTTAAGAATTTCTATGGCCCCTATTTAGTGAGTTTACTCGATTTGTACAAAATTACAGGAAAGCTTAAAAATGAGCAAAAACTTTAAATTTGAGAACCATCTTGAAATTTTATTTTATTTTCACTAGCGTCATTATTTATTTTACTATTATCGTTCCCTGTTGGATTATGGAGGCACGTATCAAAAAACCAGAATAAGAAAAAATTCTGGTGGTGCCCAGTACAATTAGCAACAATTATTAAATCAAGACTGCAAAAACTCATATTGCAAATCCCCAGCAAAAAATGGTGGGGATGCTTTCCCTCAATGAAAATTACCTATCAACATTACATGAAAATTGCTATCCCATAATACTATTTTTTTCGGTTTGCTGTTTTGGGCTCTGTCCTTTTTATGTTTTGAAATCTAGCTGTTATGAAATTTTTGTTATAACTCACTTTTGCTTTTTGCTCCTGAACCATTGCGTTTCTTGGTTTGCCCTTGGATAGAAAAAACAATATAAGAAAAATGTGTGGTGCAGTCAGTGAGACCAATATAACATAAAATATAATTTTTAAAAAAAAAGTTAAAGACATGTTAAGCACATTACAGTAGTGCATGTAAGACAAGCGTTTGTAAAGGTAATCATGTACAGTTGTAATGTAAATAAATGCTCCGTTTACAATTTTGAACTGTCATATTTCTCAAAAAATGACAAATTGTCTGTATATTTCAAACAATATGATTCTAGTTTGCATGATCATTGCCAGTTTTGTTGTTTTCAGGTATGGAATGCATAAATGGTAGATCTTTTTTAGATCTAGAAAAGGTCCCGGGTATAGGTTTGAGAAAAGATCTTGTGAAAATGATCTCTGTATTTTGAGTTGAAATAACAGCTCTAATGACTTTTTTGGGTCTTTTTTCAACCGTCTAAAAAGTCTACACATATATGTTCTAGAATTGTTTGCGATATATTATGGAAACAAAATCAAACATGAGATGTTTATTTCGGTTAAATTGTATATTATATACTAACAGTAAATATACAGTGTGTCCCAAAATAAGTACCCCCTATTGGGGTAAAGTTGAAAGTTAAAGCAAGTAACATTGAAAGCGAGATTTAACTTTATTAACTTTACTTGAATGCCTCAACCTAATAAATATGCTATTTACACACTACTGTGAGATATATTTATGATGTTTGCGTTATTATTTAGGGTTAGCTGTTGCGTAAGTTCATTTATGCCAGGTGGGAAAACGTTGTCTGTTCGTTCTTTGTAGTCAAGATGTAAAATAGAAAATATGTTCAGATTCTGGTTTGTATAAAATATAACAGTTACGGAGGAGAGATACAGTAAATCGAAATTTATAGAACATGGTCCTTCGAGCCGGATGTTGGCAATTCTAAAAGTTTTGCAACGGAGAATACTTGATTTGAGCCTGTGGAAATCAAAATATTTTGAGTTAAGTCTGGAATTTAAACAAAATCTGAAGAGAACGTGAGTAGTTATTTGGTTATTTACTATATAATCTTGAAGATACGAGCCTGGAGAACCTCCGAAGTCAAGCGAATAAAGTCATTGGAGTTTAATCTTATATAAATATCTGGTTAATTGTGGATTTCGGATGAATATTGTCGCTGTATTAAACATTGTTATAGTATAAATATGAGCGCTGATCTATCCAGGAAGCAGAGGTTAAAAAGGGCTCATCAAGCTTCTGCTACACGACTTCAAAGAACGGTGAGTGAAGCACTTAGTTCTTTTGACCCAAACAATATGGAAGAAATTGTGCCTAAACTGAATCAACTTAAAACTAGCATGAAAGAAAAACTTGAAATTCTTTAACTAGTTGATGAAGAGAATATTGAAGAAGAAATTGAACAATGTGATATTTCTAGAGAAGGACTGCAATTGGCTTTAGAAAATGTAGAAAGAGCACTCAATAATGCCTCTAGCATGTTTAGTTCATCTGCATTATCTGATGTGACTGAAAATGTAACAAGTAACACCCCACCAATGGCAAGTGAAGCCCCGGAATCACCTCAAGGTGGTGCCAGTAATGCAAGCATGTTACTATCACAGAATCAAAGTTCAAGTCAGCCTGGTACATCCAGTGAAATTGAAATCCCTAATATCAATCAGTCTTCTACATCAATTGTGAATCCACCCCAACCAGTAGAACAGCCTACCATACATGTACCACATGCATCACCTGGGAGGCATACAGCAACCCTACCAATCAATCATGTAGCACAAGTAAAGTTGCCAAAGTTAATCCTAAGAAGGTTCTCTGGTGATCCCAGCCAGTGGAACCCATTCTGGGATACATTTCAAGCCTCTATCCACAATAATCCCTCCTTAGCACCAATTGATAAGTTCAATTATCTTAAGTCCTTCATGGATGGAGCTGCAGCTGAGTCTATTGCAGGGTTATCTCTAAGTAATGCAAATTATGAAGAAGCAATTGTTATTTTGAAAGCAAGGTTTGGGAATAAACAGCAAATTATAAATCGACATATGGATATTCTGTTAAATCTGCAATCAGTTACATCTGAAAATAACCTGAAGGGTTTGCGCCAACCTCATGACACAGTGTAATCACATATCAGAAGCTTGAAATCGATGGGAGTAGAACCTGAATTGTATGGGAACCTTCTTTCTTCAATGTTAATGTCGAAACTACCAACAAATTTGCAGCTTGTTGTTAGCAGAGTGGTTAAAGAAAACAAATGGAATTTGGACAAACTATTAAAAACCTTCCAGCAAGAACTAGGAGCCAGAGAGAGAATTAAAGCACCTTTAATCAAAGTACTGTACAACTGTGACTACTCCGGCTGCTCGTCAAGATATCTTAAGGAAGACGGGGAGATGTTTTGTGTGCCTACGAAAGGATCATATCAGCCCAAATTGTAAGTCAACAACGCATTGCTACGTGTGTAAGGGGCGACATCATATTATCATATGCAAGGGCAAGAGGTCACCTCCACCTCCTAAAGACCCCCCCCAGAAGAACATTAGCGAAACAGTACAACCAAGCAAAAGGAAAACCCACAGGATGATTTGATGCTAGCTACAGAAGTTGCAGCAAGAAGCCCAAAGTCTGGCACAGATTGGGAGACTATTGCCTCCATACTCAGCAAAGCATTTAGTACAGATGGTAATAGGATTGAATTAACTGGACGATCATGTAGAGAGCGAATGGACCATCTATTAGCTAAGCACAAAGAGGATGATAAGAAATCGCTAAAAAAGTAAGAACAGGTTGTCATTACTGTCATAGATATAAACACAGCCCCCATCTTTCAAATGAATGTTGTGATTTTATGTTGTGATTTTCATATTAACTTATTAAGTGGCAATGCACCAAAGTGCATACAGATGTTTTACTTTAGTCTGTCTAAAGGCAGATGATTTTACTTAGCTTATCCAAGAGCTGTGCTTAAGGAGAGACCTTTGTTTTGGTTCATTTATACTCTGGTGATATTTGTTAAGATATGGCACTGAAGAAGAATATACGGAGCTAACCCAACTATTAGAAGATATCATGACTTGTCGAAGGGATATGGAAGATCTGAAAAGGAAAGAAAAGGAAGAAAAAAATAGAAAAGAAGAGTTAAAAAACAAGAAAGGACAGAAGATGCATGCTACTGCAGTCAGTAAAATGTGTAGTAAGTGCACAGAGGAATTTTCATATCTTTGTCTGGGGGTGGACAGATTTCTGGGAGGGGTGCCACTGCTTGGTTTTTGGCTGAAGCCTGGTGGCAAAGTCAAGAAAGTAAAGGAAAATTGGTAAAATACATAATTTGTACAGGAATGGTGGGCAAAATCTTTGGGGGGCAATATCTCAATAATCTATTTGATAAATAGTATGAAGTAATAGTTGCATGTAGCATTTATTATACTTTTTGTAATTCAGAGCGGAAACACAGCAATAAGCTTGAAAGTAGCGAATCTTCTAGTGAAAATGATGAGGATGACGAAAATGAAGATGCTGGAAAAAATAAACAACGTAAGGAAGCTTTACATATTTCTTATTCCGGCTGTATAATTTTAAAAAATCCTCCACAAAATTGCATCCAACCCTTATTCTCTGTATCAGCATTAATAGTCAGTATTGTGCAGTTCATTATTTACCTCACAAATGGTTTTTCAAGTAAACCAGTACGCCAAAGAGCAAGCAAGCTCACTGCATTAGAAATGCTCACCGACAAATATAAACAAAAGACAGAGTTAAAACAGAAGGAACTCCAGTTAAGAAGAATGGAACTTGACTTTGAGAAAGAAAAGTATAATGCAAAGGCTGAGGAAAGAAAAGCAAAGTTTCAACTAGAAATGGAAGAAAGAAAGGCATACATAGCCCTTCTACAGACAAAATCATAGTTTCTATTTTTGACAGTACTAAATGTGTTCATAAAATTTTGTATATTATTGTTACATATTATTTGAACCATATGTTAAATAGTTATACTTGAATGTTCCAGATGATGTGTTACTATACTGTGTATAAAACTATTCTGATGTTGAAGATAAATTAAATTGTTTATACTTTACATATCATTGATTTGATAAATATGTTTCCAAAGATGGGGGTTGAACACCAAAGTAGGAACTAGTTAGTGATCCATATAAACAGGTGTGGCAGTTTGTCAAAAGAGTTCCAACCAGATAGTATTTGCCAATTGGCTGAAGTAAGATCTTTTGATTTTTTTTGAAATCTAAAAATGCAAAATACTGAGCAATTTTTCCAAACCCCCATTCCACACTAACACGTAGTTTACTCATTCGCTTATTAAACTCTTGCTCATCTGCAGTTAGGAAAACACCCCGGAATGGAGCCAGTATGTTATCAGTGACACCATATGCTGGGTCGCCATAAATAATATAAGGTTCTCCATTGGGCTGGCGAATCCTGCACAACTTGTCAGCCAAGTTGCTAACACCAAGAATAAATGCATCGTGTCTTCGTCCTTCCACAGGACCGAACATGTTTGCAATAAGGCCATTTGGTGCATGGACTGACTAAAATGTATAAGTTTTTGTTTAATTTGAGAAATATTAACCCATTACTTGTCCAATAAACCAATCTCACCTTGATGCAATAAAAATTTGTACTTTATGTAGGTCAACAGTGATTTTTTTATTTTTAATGCAAACAACATTATATGAATAAATAGAAAATCACATACCTGAAATTTGATGCAGTGAGTTCTTTTATGCCCACTAAACATTATTTGCTGATTTCTAATAGGACGTGGAATTGGCCGAACGGTGCCATCAATAAACCCCCAGCATTGGGTAAGAGGTGCTCCTTTATTGTGAATTGGATTGGAAAACAGCTCGGGATCAAACCAAACTAAGTCCAGAGAGTCCAAAAGGTAGCTGAAACGGTCACAAATATCATCCAAAATCTAGAAGAATTATTTTTTTTTGCTTCCTTGGAATGTAAATGCATCTTACAGTACAGCTAGCAGCCATATTACGAAAATACTAGCAAACATTCATCGCCAATATATAGTTTCAATGTTGATAAATATCTGATGAAATTACCTTGTTAAAAATTAAACTCAACTCAGATTCACTTCTTCCAAAAATAGATACCAAATCGCACCATCTGTTTGGATAAACTAGTCTTCTTAATAAAATTATGAGTGCTTCCATTCCAGATGCTTTTGTCTTTTGAGGGCAAATATAATACGATGGAAGATTCAATGCACAATGAAGCTGATGCATATTATCCTTATGAAACCTATATTTTATAAGATGACAAAAAAAACCAATACTATTCACTCTACAATTCACTAATGACTAGTGAGTCGAAACCGATAGTATTGAAATTTGAATATTGGATTATTGCTTAATAGTTTTCGTAAGACATTGTAGTAAATATTTTAAATACTCGCCTAAACATTTTTTCACACTGCCAGTCACTAAGCTCGTCGATGTTTAGCAAAGGGCCAACTTGGTTTGGTGATGGAAACAAGCAATCCAGCAGTATCAAATCAAGATCATCCTCGTCACTGCTACTACAATCTGACTCACTGCTATCGTTAAACGTTAGGGCTGTAATAATGTCATTGTATTGTTCCCTGGTAAAAAAAGAAACAGTAACAGTCTACGTAAAGATTTTTTTTTTCTAAATTTAGCTGGAATTAATTCAAATTTTGAAAAACTGTAGCTAAACTTTCACTAACCTTGCAACTGCCGCCATGTTGAAAACACAGAAAAATTTAACGCGAAACTAAATCGCCCAAAAAATTTTCCTTCTAACTGCAAACTTCTGACCTCAAACTGCGGTTTGTCGTTCGCGGTAAAATGAAAAATACTTCAAACTAAATGTCCCTATTGTTCTTCTTCAAACTGCTAGGGTGAATTTATATAATCCAGATAATCCTGAGGGTCCCAAGATCAGGGCTAGACTAATTTTGGGTGGTGGGAGTCAGTGTTCATATATCAGCAATGAACTGACAGGATTCTCAGTCTACAGCCAAAGGGCCAAAGTTCGATAAATATAAAAACGTTTGGCTCCAACGCGACTAATGCTCAAGTTATTGATGTGATTAACCTTGGTATAGAAACTGCCCATGGAGCGAACATTGAAGTATCAGCATTCACTGTGATACTTCAATCAACGTTAATTTGTCAGCCATTAAAGAACCAGTTTGTGTTGAATGCTAGCAAGACCTACCCGCATCTGGCCAACCTCTACTTAGCTGATTACTCGTCAGGTCACCACGATGCGAAAGTGGATATCTTGATCAGTTCCGATCATTACTGGAAGATTGTGACAGGAAAAACCCAACAGGGAATAGCGGTCAACTGCCATTCAAACAAGGCTCGGTTGGGTTCTTTCTGGCCTGTTGAAAATGAATCACGGAAATCAACCCACACCAGCAATCTTGCTACAATCCATACCCTCAAATGCGCCTCTGAAGAAGTTGAATGTAAGAATGATGTCCTTGTGCAAGAGCTGAAGAGATTTTGGGACTTAGAAACTGTTGGTATTCAACCACAGTGTGTGTAGAAGAATTTCTAGAAAGTATTCAGTGTGTGGAGAATCATTATGAGGTAAAGTTGCCATGGAAACCCGATCATGCTGAACTGCCTGATAACTATGATCTTAGCAAAGGACGTTTATTACGGTTGCTGAAGCTATTGCATAATGAGCCAGAAGTCCTTAAGAAGTATGACAATGTGATAAGAGATCAGCTTAACAAGGGAATCGTGGAGTCCACACCAAAACCAAACGAAGAAATCAAGAGTATGCACTATTTACCTCATCATGCCGTCATCCGTCAAGACAAAACAACAACAAAATTGAGAGTAGTGTATGACGCCTCAGCAAAGTCAAGAGGACCTTCACTTAACGACTGCCTGTATAGTGGTGCCTCGCTGACTCGGAACATCGTTGACATAATGATGCGTTTTCGGGCCTACAAGGTGGCCTTAACTGGAGATATTGAGAAGGCTTTCCTCATGATCCATGTAGCAGAGTCTGATAGGGATGCATTGAGGTTCCTGTGGGTTGATGATGTACATAGCCCAAACCCTAAGATTATCCCATTTCAATTTACCAGAGTAGTGTTTGGTGTGTCATCGAGTCCCTTTCTATTAAATGCCACAGTAAAACACCACATTGAACAGTACAGAGAAAATGATCCTAGCTTTGTGGAAACGTTCCTGAATTTGATTTATGTGGATGACCTTATTTCCGGTGGTGAGCACATTCAAACTCTATGAAGATTCAAGAAACCGATTGGCAAAGGCCAACTTCAATTTGCGAAAGATAACCACAAATTCTAAGGAACTCCAAGAGCGGATATGTCAAGCCAACCAACTGTTGACAGGGAACGATGCATTGAGTGGAAGTATATAGCTAGAGCTGAGCCCAAGTACTTGGTTCAGGAGGAGCAGTCATCTTATGTTGGAAGTACATTGGGTCCTCGCCTTCCAATCAGTGATGATAAACAGAAAATTCTAGGAAACTTATGGGATTCATATGAGGACAATCTTATTATTGATCTCAAGGACGTTTGGGGTTGGTTGGTTGGTTGGTGAACAACATTCAACCTATGAAGAGAAATGTGATCAGTGTTTTTTCCAAGATTTACGATCCTATGGGTTTTATATCCCCATTAACAATAAATTTCAAGCTGTTGTTTCAAGAACTCTGTATGGCAAAGAGTGACTGGGATCATCCACTTCAGGGAACCCTAAAATGCAACTGGCAGAAATTAGTTGAAAACCTAAGAGAAGTCCAACCTGTTGTCATTCCGAGATACTATGTGTCTAATGTGCAGGAGCAAGTTGTGTCCTACGAGCTTCATGGGTTCTGCGATGCATCTATCAAAGCGTAAGCTGCCGTAATATACCTCAGAATCATCACACCAAAAGCATCTCATGTCCGGTTGGTGATATCGAAGGCAAGAGTGGCATTCTTAACTAGACAAACGATTCCAAGGTTAGAGTTACTCTCAGTGCTCGTCTTTGCCAGATTAATGAATGTTACTCAGAGGGCCCTTGAGTCTGTGATTGAGATTTCGAAGGTTCAGTGCTGGATGGATTCTAAAGTTGCATTGTATTGGATTACGCAGCAGGAATGGAAACAATACGTACAGAGTCGAGTTGAAGAGATCAGAGGGCTGTTTCCTGCAGAACACTGGAGTCACTGTCCAGGTGTAGAAAATCCCGCAGACATTCTATCACGTGGCATCCTGCCTACACAACTAGTATCGTCTACACTGTGGTGGTCTGGCCCAAAGTGGTTGTCTACCATAGACAACCCTGCAAAAGAGAACTGTGATAGCAATGTTGTACCTGAAGAGTGTTGAGCAGAGATGAGGGTCAAGGACCAGAGAGCATTGGACAAGAAGTCGAAGGACACTTGTTCAACGATGTTAGTGCATGGATCAGAGGATTCCATAAGCAATGTTATTAGCTGTAGAGATTACAGCAGCCTGGGTCGTTTGCTACGAGTTACAGCTGTCGTCTTGAAGTTCATCAAGCTGCTTAAATCAAAAGTTAGACAGGAAGATCTTTCAACAAACTCAGAAGTCACATGAGTCGACATCGAATTGGCTCAAGTTCTATGGATCAAGGAACTACAGGTCAAACTGAAAATGAACAAGAAATTCAAGGAGTGGAATCAAGACATCGGCCTGTTCACAGATGAAAGCGGAGTCGTCTGATGCAAGGGAAGATTATCTAACTCTAACTTGCCATATTCAGCAAAGTATCCAATCCTGTTAGATACAGCTCACTACCTTACCATGTTAATCATACGGGATTGTCATGCTCGAGTAATGCACAGGGGAGTAAAGGCGACGTTAACAGAACTTCATTCCAAACTCTGGTTAGTTTGTGGAAGGAGCTTTGTACGAAAAATCCTTTTCAATTGCGTTACTTGCAAGAAGCAAGATGGTAGAGCATACAGGACACTTAACCCTCCACCATTGCCCGAGTTTAGAGTAAAAGCACCACCATTTACATGTTTGTTGGTTTGGACTACGTCTGTCCCTTATATGTGAAATCAATGAGCGATTTAGACGAGAAGGCAT